ATGGGGTGACATCGTCGGGAGTGTCCAGAAATTGAAGTTCGGACGGGGAGGGGGAGTGGTTGAAGGGAAAGGTGAGTTCATCAAAGACGACATGGCGGGAGATAATTATTTTGTTAGTGGTGAGGTCAAGACATCGGAAACCCCGTTGGTTGGATGGGTAACCAAGAAAGATACATCGGGCCGAACGCGGGGAGAGTTTGTGAGGGGCGGTCGCAGAGGTGTTGGGATAGCAAAGGCAGCCAAAGACACGTAGGTGGGAGTAAGTGGGTGGTGTTTGGAAGAGGACTTCATGAGGAGTGCGTTGTTGGAGTGTGGTGGTGGGAAGAAGATTGAAGAGATGGCACGCCATGTGGAGGGCTTCAACCCAGTATTCAGGAGGAAGTTGGGCTTGAAATAACAGAGTGCGGATGGTGTTGTTAACAGTGCGTATTGTACGTTCCGCCCGGCCGTTTTGTTGGCTAGTGTGGGGACAAGAGAAGCGGAAGAGAATTCCTAGAGAGTTGAACATATTCTGGAGGGGCGTGTTTCTGTATTCAGTTCCGTTGTCACATTGTACAGATTTGGTGGTTGTGTTAAATTGGTTCTTTACATAAGCAACAAAATTAGTTAAGTGAGAAAAAGCATCAGATTTATGTCGAAGAGGAAAAACCCATAAGTAATGAGAGTAATCATCTAGTAGAAGCATATAAAATTTAAAACCAGTTATACTAGAAACAGGTGATTGCCATAAATCAGTATGCATTAATTGAAAGGGAAAATAGGAAAGTCTAGCGGAGGAAGTAAAAGGAAGACGAACATGTTTCTCTAATTGACAAGCATGACACAAATTATGCTGAAGTAGTTTATTAAAAGAAAAAGAAGATAAATAAGGAACACTATCTAGAACTGCAGGACTGGGGTGACCAAGGCGTTGATGCCACGTTTGAGCTGAGACAGAAGCAACATGGGCTTGAGTGGTGGAGTCTTGGGTGCGCAGAGGATAGAGATGGCCTTCATTATTGCAACGTTGAATCACAGTTCCTGTCCGAGAATCCTTCACAGAAAAACCGTGAGAGTCAAATTCTACAGTACAGTTATTGTCACGAGTGAATTGACGAACGGAAATAAGATTATGAATGATATGGGGGGAAACAAGGACATTGTTAAGGGAAAGGGGTGGGGAGGTGGGGAAGGTGTGTTTACCAATAGCCGTAGTGCTTACTTTTGATCCATTACCAACAGTGATAAAATGTGGAGAATTTAAGCTTTGTGAATAAACATGAGAAATAGTACCTGGGTCTGAAGCGATGTGATGAGTGGCGCCAGTGTCCATGAGCCAGGTGGGTTCACGGAGGGTCATTGTATTAAAATGGTGGGCTAAGGCCGTGGGGGTGAGGGATTGGGGTTGGGCCGAGGGGGACCCGTAGGTGTAGGGGTGGGGTTGATTTGGGTTTTGTGAATTCGGGTATATGGGGGGCTGTGGGTAGGAGTTGGGTAAAGAGGTGGGCTGATATGGGTAGGTGGGGGAGGTGAAGTGGGCCTGGGCAGGGAAGGGAAGGGATGGGTGGTGGGGCGTGGGCCCAGTAGGCCTGGGCTGGGGTTTTGGTAAGGGGTTTGCCATGGTCCAAAGTTCGTTGGAGCAGTCCGGGAGTTGAATCCAGAGTTACGACCTCGACCGCGACCGCGGTTCGGCCGTCCACCACGTCCACCATAGCCGTACCCGCGTCCGCCGTTGCCTTGAGATTGTCCGCCATGAAGCTGTCCGCCATAGAGCTGTCCACCGCTACTGCCGCCTTGCTGCCCGCCGCCTGTAGGCACACCACCGCGACCCTGCTGCCGGAAACCACCGTGGCCGAGGGTGGCCAGGGCAGTTCCCTCGTCGCCAGAAGCTGGTTGTGGGCGGCGTTGTCCTTCAAGGAGGAGGAGTGCAGATCGGGTTTCCATGAAAGTCGGCGGGGGTTTTTGGAATTGCAGAAAAGATGCCTGTGAACCAAGATCCTCGGGAAGGCCACGTAGGGTTTGCAAGACGAGCTGATTTTCCGTCACCGGGGCATCCACGTCATCTAACAAGTCGGCAATATTCCGCAAAGTTTGACAATAAGTAGCGATGGTGGATGCGCCCTTGACGGTGTTGTAGAAGCGTTGTTCCAATTGCATGGCTCGAGCGGCTTTATTATCGTGAAACAAATTATGAATGGCTTTCCAAAGATCCGCGGCAGCGGTGGTAGAGGAGAGAATTAGATCCGAAACTTCATCATTAATGGTAGATAGAATCCATCCCTGAATGAGAGCATCAAGTTGCACCCAATCAACATCATCTTTGCCGGTGGAGGTTGTGGCACCGGTGAGAAAACCTTCGAGATTGAAACGCCGAACCAATAGGAGAAAGAGACGACTCCATTTTTTGTAATTTGGTTCTGAGAAACTGAGGGTTATGGGAACTTGGAGTTTGACGTTTGAAACGGTGGTGAAGGCAAGATGAGGGGTAGAGGGAGGGGTTGATTTTTCGGCTTTTTTAGTTGCCATAGGGAGAGATGGGGGGAGCAGCTGGTTGACGAGGAGACTGGCCGGCGAGAGAGAGAGGAAGACGGAGAGAGGGAGAACGGTGCTGGGTGAGGCAGAGCCGAGGGCGCCGAGACAGAAGACGAAGAGAGGGTGATCGGCGCTCGGTGAGACAGAGCCGGCGGCGCCGAGGAAGAAGACGTATCGGTATTAGCCTAGGGTTGGCTCTGATACCATGAAGAATTGTATTGTTCAATAATAAAATACAAATAAATCACCTCCCCTTATATACATGTAGGAGGTATATTGGAAAGGAAACAATATTAAATACAAATCCTATACAATCAAGGAATCTACCAAATATAACAATAATATTAAATATGTAATATATACTTTACATATTTAACATAAATGATAAGTTAGAACTTTGGCAGCTTTTCATGGAGACTAAAGGATTCAGACTTAGGCTCCGTTCCGTTCAACTTATTTTTCTGATCTGATCTGATTTTAATAAGTTCTGATCTAATCTGATCTGATCTGGTCTGATCTGATCTCATTGGATCTGATCTGATCTGATCTGATTGGATCTGATCTGATCTGATCTGATCTGATTGGATCTGATCTGATCTGATTGGATCTGATCTGATCTGATCTGATTGGATCTGATCTGATCTGATCTCGTCTGATCTGATCTGATTAAATATGATTTAATTTAAAATTTCAAATTAATAATTTGATTTGACTTTATAATAACGTTTGAAAATTATAACGATAATTCATAGTATAATATAATCAATATTTTTTATTTAATAATTATTTTTTAATAAAATAAAAATAGTTAATTCATATATTAGAATAATCATTTATATTATACTGTAATAATATTTTTTATTTTATGATTATTTTTTTATATTAGAATATTAATTTAATATTTTAATAATTACTTCATATATACATTAGAATAAATATTTAATTTAGATATACATTAAAAAGTAATTAAATTTAGATAATCAATATATAGAAGAGATAGTATTTTTATTAAAATATCTCATCCTTATAAAAGATCAAAACTTTAGAAACTCAAATTACAAGTAGCAATAAAAATATATTTTNATTATAATGTAATAATATTTTTTATTTTATGATTATTTTTTTATATTAGAATATTAATTTAATATTTTAATAATTACTTCATATATACATTAGAATAAATATTTAATTTAGATATACATTAAAAAGTAATTAAATTTAGATAATCAATATATAGAAGAGATAGTATTTTTATTAAAATATCTCATCCTTATAAAAGATCAAAACTTTAGAAACTCAAATTACAAGTAGCAATAAAAATATATTTTCAAAGTAGAATTAGATTGACACTGTTAATGTATTTTAAAACTAATTTTTCCGACGTCTAATAATTAAAGATTACTTTCTCAGTTTTCTATTTAACCTATTTCTAAAGTTTATTCTTTTTCATTTTAAGAACAATAATAATAATAATAATAATAATAATAATAATAATTCTTGATAAGATCTGATTTTAATAAGTTCTGATCTGATCTGATTTGATTGGGTCTGATCTGATCTGATTGGGTCTGATCTGATCTGATTGGATCTGATCTGATCTGATTGGATCTGATCTGATCTGATTCGATCTGATCTAATCTGATCTGATTCAATCTGATCTGATCTGATCTGATTCGATCTGATCTGATCTGATCTGATTCTAATAAGAATAAGAAAAAATAAGAAAAAATAAGTTGAACGGAACGGGGCCTTAGTAAGACCAAGATGGAATACATGGAGTGTCGTTTGAGTAGCCGGGAGGAACAGTTAAGGGTAGAAGTGAGGAATGACTCTTATCTAGTACTCAAGGTGGACAAATTTTGGTATCTTGACTTAGTAATTCAGGTAGATAAGGAGTCAGACGCGTATGTTGTGCACCGTGTTGAAGAAGCTTGGGCTAAGTGGAGGTTGGCTTCAGGAGTGGTGTGCAATAATAACATTTCACCTAGGATGAAGGGCAAGTTCTACAAGGCTGTAGTCAGACTAACTGTGCTCGATGGGGTAAAGTGTTGGGCGGCGAAGATGATTCACGTGCGGCGTCTGCATGCGACAATGATGCGGATGTTGCGGTGGATATACGGGCAGACGAGGCTTGATAGAATTCGTAACGAAGTTATTCGAGGTAAGTTAGGCATGGCGCCAGTGGAAGATAAGCTTCGGTAAGCTAGGTTGAGGTGGTTCAATCGTGGAAGATGGCAGAAAGCTGATGCTCTAGAGCAGACATGCGAGAGGCTTATGTTGGTAGGGGAAAGAGGGAAAGGGGTAGACCTAGGAAGAATTGAAACGAGATGATTAGAAAAGACTTATGACTTCTTGTTCTTACTCAATAGATAGGAATATTTAGAGAGATAGGATTACAGTAGCTGGGTAGGTGCATTGAGCTAGGGAAGTTGTTGTATGCTTTCTAGGCCTTTTATGCTTAGTTCTTTTTGAAAGGTAAAAGTAAAATTAAAAAATTAAACATTTTTAGAATGTACTTTTTTTGTTTTTTGAAAAGTTTTATGGGATAGAAGGAAGTATAATTTATGAATAAAGTTTGAAAAAATTTACAACCATGCTAAGGGTACACCACAAGTGTACCCCAAAGAAATGCATCGACATTTTAATGGTTCACACGGGTAGAAAATGTTGGTGCAATTAAAAAAATTTGTACTTACTTTTTTTCTAATGCAAATCATCACATTAGCACAAAATGTCGGTGCATGTCTTTGGAGTATAAAATTGAGTATAAATTTTAGTGTACAAATAACTTAATCCAAAAATTTACCAAAAAAGGAAGTACAAATATTCTTGAGTAAAATTCCATAAATGGTCCCTAGTTATAGGTCATTTTACATATTTACTTCCTACATATCAGATATTACTAATTTAGTCCCTAATTATTATATTCATTTCCACGAATGGTCCTTTATTAGCATTTTCGTTAAGAACATGGATAAAATTGTAAATTCACTTTCCTTTCTCTTCTCAATTAAGCTTCTCCCTCCCCTCGCACTGCTTTCCCAAACCAGTCATTGAGTTTGAAACTTTGAACCCAAAACCGAAATCATCACTCTTCTCTCAGTTGTTTGTCTAACTGGTGAAACCCAAATTCGAAACCAGTAACCTTCATGGATAAGTTTTAATGTTTATTTTTTTTGCAATTTCTTGATACTAACCGATAAAACTCATCCATAAAGGTTATTAGTTTTGATTTTAGGTTCCACCATGAAGACTAATAATTGAGAGAGGAATGATCATTTCAGATTTGGGTTTAGATCTTCAAACTCAGCGACGAGTTTGGGAAAGAGTATGAGAGGAGGGAGGAAGCTTAATTGAGGAGAAAGAGAAGTATGAATATACAATTTTATTCATGTTCTTAACAAAAACGTTAATAAAGGACCATTTTTAAAAAATGATAAAATAATTGGGGACTAAATTAGTAATATTTGATATGTAGGGACTAAATGTGCAAAACGACCTATAACTGGGGTTATAGAATTTGCTCAATATTGTCTCTGAATGGGAATATTGTTCTCCGTACTTGTTAAGACAACAATCATAATGCTCCTAGGAAAAACTAGTATTTCACCCCTGCAATGCACGAGGAAATAATAACTCAAAATTCAAGGGAAGCCTCAAGCTATATTTTATACCCCCAACACATCCCTTCACATGCTTGGGGAGTGTACTACAAAGAACAGCCAATATTTGAAAGTCACCAAAAATATCCATATAATTAAATGATTTAATTTCATGAATAATTATGTCGTATGTGTATAATAAAACTCTTAGTATACAAAATAATACTCTGTATTTGAATATTGCAAATATAGAATAAGCATTTACTCTTCCAAATTACTAGTATCACACCCGTGTGTTGCACGGCTCGCATTTATATTATTAAATTATATTCGGATTATTATTGAAGAATAGAAATTAGTATAAATAATAGAATATAAAGTTCAGTATTTTAAAGGATTGTATATAAATTTTTTATCTCTATTACAGTCGAACATGCAATACTAATATTAAAAAAAATTACATTTGTTTACAATCTCATAATAAGTGTGAAAGTTATTTTTTATTTATTGAACATCTTTTGAATGAGTTTAAATTTTAAATGGATGAGATATTGTCCATTATTAAATCCAATTATTTTTGTCCTAATAAAATAATCGCTATTCAAGGCTATTTGAATTCTTACCATTTATATATAAGTATATTTTATTTTTCATATTAATTTATTTCATCAATTTATTTATCTCAATTTTAAAAATATGTACTAAAATATACTATGTTGAATATTTATTTCTTGCTATTTTTAGATGAGTGTTTGTATAATAAAATATTTTTTCATCCATTGATTTATTTATTTATGCTAAAATATACTATGTTGAAAATTATTTCTTGCCATTTTTAGATGAGTGTTTTTATACTAAAATATTTAATTTTACTCGTTGATTTATTTACATTTATATAAAAATGAACTGTGTTGAATTTTTGTTTCTTAATATTTTCCAAAAATGAACGCTATTGCTATTTCTAAAAATTTATACCATATTATACTCTATTGAATATTTATTTCTTGCCATTTTCTATGAGTGTTTTTATACTAATATTTTTTTTAAATCAATTGATTTATTTTTCTTTTTAAATTTTCCATAAAATATGTATTTATTTATTCAAGCCCACGTGTAACAAAATTTTTCTAAAATAAATTTAGACCACCCGCAGCAATTAAATAATGATGGTGCTAATCTCCATATATAATAAGCTCTTTATATAATAAAAAATCCATATATAACAAAATTTCCTAAGATAAATCAAGACTAAGCCTATAAATTTTGACCGTGATTAATAATAATATTTATATTTATTAATTAATTAAATTATAAATTTCACATATAACAAAATTTACTAAAATAAATCTAGACCTCTCCATATATAATAAAAAGTTCTAACACGTATTTATAAAAGTCCATATATAAAAAAATTTCTTAAAATAAATATAGACCACCCTATTTCAAAGTTCGCAAAGTCCAATAGCCATAGGCAATGATCATTTCATATTTGCGTTTAGAGCTTCAAACTCAGCGACGAGTTTGGAAAAATATACGAGAAGAGAGAGGAAACTTAATTGAAGAGAGAGAAGTATGAATATACAATTTTATCCATGTTCTTAACAAAAACGTTAATAAAGGATCATTTTTAAAAAATGATATTATAATTGGTGACTAAATTAGTAATATTTGATATGTAGGAACTAAATATGTAAAACGACTTATAACCGGGGATCTTTTATAGAATGGGAAAGGTTCAAGTGACATTAGAGCGCAATCATGGGATGACCCGAGGGCGCTCTGGTGCCCCGTTCGTAAAATTGACGGTTCCTACCCCTCCTAACCTCCCCCGGTAAACCCCCCACCCGCCCCTGACCCGAACACACACCCCACCCCTTCAATTGCATCCAACAAGTTGATTTTGACTTTGGAGTCAAAATTTGACTCCAAAGTCAAAATCAACTTGTGGGGTGCAATTGAAAGGCGTGGAGGGGTGTATTCGGGTCGGGGCTTGGTGGGGGGTTTACCGGAGGATTATGAGGGGTAGGAGCTGTCAATTTTATGAATGAGGCACCGGAGCACCCTCGGTCATTCCATGACATTGCCCACCAATGTCACTTGAACCTTGGGGTTTTAGAATTGGGAAAGGTTCAAGTGACATTAGAGCACAATGGCATGGGAATATGGATGACCCGGGGGGCGTTCCGGTGCCCCGTTCGTAAAATTGATGTTTTCTACCCCTCCTAACCTCCCCCCCGGTAAACCCTCCCACCCGCCCCCGACCCGAACACACCCCCACCCCTTCAATTGCACCCAACAAGTTGATTTTGACTTTGAAGTATTGTTCTCCGTACTTGTTAAGACAACAATCATAAGAGCAGTGGCAGCGGGCGAGGCAAATGCCTGCCACGCTTGCCACATCAGCTCCCAAATTTTTTTCGCCATGCGTAGCATGAAGAAGAAGGCCATTCCCCCACGGTGAGCAAGTCACTTGCAAGGCATCCCACGCCTCTTTTTCTTTTTTTTCTTTTTTACTTTTCTTTTTTTTTTGATAAAAAAAACTCTTTTTTGTAAGGAAATAGAAGTATTTTTTTAATGAGACAAATAACAAAAATTATTTTTAATAATTAAAATACATTACAAAAATTTTAAAAAGTGACAAAAGTAACGACTTGCCACTGTAGGATGCGCCACTCCACTCAGTTGCTACTCTCTGACTAGACCATTTTTTATTAGTTGATTTATGTCATGTAGCGTGTGACATTCTTTTTTTCCATTGTCATTGTTCATGCTCTAATGCTCTAGGGTCATTGTTCATGCTCTAATGCTCTAGGGAAAATAAAGAGAAATTACAGACATCATTGCAGTATTGCACGCTGAACTCCCATCTCCGAAGAGAAGAACTACAGTACCCCGAGTATCTATGGAGTAGATTCTAATACCTGAACGGAAGAATCTTCTAGAGCTAATCGACTATGGCGACGGCTACTCACCTCCCCTGGGAGATCATCCTTGATATTCTCTGCCGATTACCGGTGGAAGATCTGCTCCGGTATAGGTCCGTATCGAAGCCATGGCGCTCCCTTATCGGCGGCCGAGAGTTCGTCAATCGCCACCTCAAGCTCTCTCCGGATTCCACGTCCCGGCTCGGTTTCGTCTTCGGCGGCAGAAACGGCCTCTACTGGACCTCTTTGAACGGTCTCAACTCGTTCGCGCCACTCACTTACCCAATCGACGCCGGAGCAGGGATCGCCGTTCACGGGAGCTGTAACGGATTGCTGGCTCTTATGAACCCTAATTCGGATATGGCGATTTGGAACCCTTCCACTCGGAGGTACATAGTTTTACCTATTTCAGATCATTTCCAATCCTTTCCCTGCCACGAATTCGAGGTTTTCCTCACCGGATTTGGGTACGACCCAATTAATGACGACTATAAGTTGCTATTGCTGATCGAATTTCAAGGGCTATTTAAACCATCTTTTCACCGCGATGTCAAGATTTACAGTTTAAATGCTAAAACCTGGAAGAAAATTGATAATTTTCCTGCTAATGTCTCTTACCGTCTTACCAACGGGGTACAGTTTGGAAATTCTCTGCACTGGTTGGTGAAGTCTAAACCTGATAATTCCAACCTGATTTTGGCCTTTGATCTTGTCAATGAAAACATCCGCAAGATTGAACTGCCCCAAAACAATTGCTTTTGTGTGAAGCTGGTGAATTTAGGAGGTTCCCTTTGTGCTGTAATTTTATCAAAGGTAGCTGCAATGGTTGAGGTGTGGAAGATGAAAGAAAATGGAGTAGCTAAGGAGTCCTGGGCTATAATTTTCTCTGTTCCGTCCACAACTCCCACTCCCCCTTTCAACTATTTCATCCCGGTTGCGTATTTGAAGAACGGCGATCAGGTGTTGGTCCACGACAGTGAAAAACTATTTGTGTTTGATATCAAAAGGAGAAAGATGATCGAGAGGGCTGTGGGTTCCGGTTTTCCTAAAATTTGTGATGCCCTTGTTTGCATGAAAAGCCTTGTGGGACTTGAATTTGCAGAAATCACTTGGAAATGGAAGAAGAGCAGTATCAAGATTAATGAAAAGAAGAAGGAAAGTGGTAAAAAGAGGTATGAATTCAAATATAGTACTTTCGTAATTGGTATGACAAGCTTTCATAATGCATTGAAAATGAATCATAAAATATGTCTACATTTAATAATTTTTTCTATGTATCAAAAAAATTGTAATGATTAGTTTAAAATGAAGGTAGTTTTTATACATTTTTTAATGCATTAAAAATGCCATAATGAATTTTGATATGTTTATATGAGTGAAACCCTTAGAGGCATTAGTGACGTTTACTGAATCTAAAAGTGATTATGTGAAATCACACAATTCTAGAAGCCACGATATGAATTTTCATTTCTTTTTTATACTCTGTATTTAAAAATTGCTGCAAGTACATGTTCTTTTGTGAGTTTACTCTTTTAATGTATGTACTGATTGTTGACTGTTAATTTGCTGGATTTGGTTGGAGTAGAGATGATTTCCTTTCCAAAGGATTTAAACTGGCATTATAATTAAGCGGAGGATGAAGAAGAAGATGCGATGCGGAATTCGGGTTAAAGCAGCCAGCGGAAGCAATTTGTTTTGGTCTCGAACACAAGAATCATGTTTTTGACAAGTTATGAATTGTGATGAAATTCTTGTTTTTTTGTTACTGGTGATTAGTGATGACTTGTTGGGATGTTTTCTTTTTTCTTTTTTGTTATCAGTCTTCCGTTAAATATATATGCTGCTGGTTTTTTCAAGGAATTATAGTGGGGTGTGATGAAGCCAAAATACATTGATGCATGAGTAGTTTTCCCGATGTTTTCATTAATACGAATCGATTACACTACTCCCCATTTAATTTTGATTCGGGCACAGGGTATATATACATTACTCCTGTCCCAATGCATTGTCTGGACAAAGAGAGAGAATGGAAGGAGAGATAGTACTCCACGAAGGAGAAGTGGAAGGTTGACGAACGTTATGTTCAGAAAGAAAACCAAGCTGCGTGGGGGGCCAGAGCAAATTGATCTCATTCGTGACGAATCAATTCAAACTGGGGGGTGTGCTGAAGCTGAAGGGATTAGGGAAGACGGAGACAAAGAAATGACAGAAATTCAACCAAGTGCTCAGGTGGATGGTGAGAGAGATGATTTTCATGATGAGAATATGCAAGATCAACAGGGTAAAATGGAATCTGGAGGTGAAAATAATGCATCCCCATCGGATATGGAAACTGATGGCGAGGGACAAAGCAGTGATGAGGAGGTTGCAGATGATGATGATAGAGAAGGCAGTGACGAGGACGAGGCAGATTATGATGGTGAAGAAGGGAGTGATGAGGATGGATCAGAGAATGGTGGTGCACACAGCGGTGATGAGGAGGAATCAGAAGATTACGAAGGGGACGATAATGAGAATGATGATGACATGACTGGTGAGCCGGATGAAGATAGTAGTGAACGAGGTGCATCAGTGAAAGGAAAGACACCAAGAGCAGTTGGTAAGAGTGTTGAACGTTCACGTGCAAGAACAAGTTAGGCTATGAAGCAGGGAGATGAGAGATTACAGGTTATTGGAAGAACAGAGATGGTGCGAATAAAAAGGGAGGGCTGGAAAGAAGAAGTTGGTGGATATCAAGGCACCATATGGGTCATTGCAGACAAGGTCGACACCACATGTATTACTGAAAGCCATACAAGGGATGAATGCTGTTCAGCGTGCTGAAATTGAAAGGATTGGGTTTGGATCAGTTTTAAGACTTGATATTTGGGAGTTGCCATCAAGGTTGGGTCTTTGCATTGTGAGTAACTATGATGTTAGGAGCAGCTGTTTAAAACCTCCGGACAATACGAAGATGCACATAACTGCTGAAGATGTTAGTACTGTCTTAGGGTGGCCGAACGGATTCAAAATAACAAGCATAACAAGGACAAATCAATGTTGAAAGAGTGGAGACTTAAGTTTGATACGACGGGTAATAAGATCACTCCAAATGATATTTTAGAGAAGATGATGAGGTGCATAGAGGGGAGAGAGTGGTTTGTGAGGCATTTTGTAACGCTAATTGTGTCGGTACTTGTGGATAGCACATCACACGGTTACGTGAATGCATTGGTGGTGGACCATTTGAGGGATGTTGGGAGAGTTCCAAGGTTGAATTGGTGTCAATATGTTCTTGACAAGCTCATAGAGAACAAGCTAAAGTGGGAGAAAAAAAGAAGCATTTTTTCAGTGGTCCACTGCTCTTTCTAATGGTATGGTTTATAATTATGTTTATAGTGCATTCCTTAATTTCCAACATGCTTATTAACCATAACATTTTGCAGGTGTTCTACGTAAATCGTGTGTCTGATTTTTCAAGGATGGTTCCTAGGACATATCTAGCTGTGTTGGGCTCGAGAGGAAAGGAACTAGGATAGAGAGAGAACAGTGAGGTTATTGAAGGGGGATTTGGTTTAGGTCATGACTA